TCCTGCAATACACATTGTCTTTCTTGGAGCAGACATTACTATTATATGTCTTGCATCACAGGCAGATGAAGGACATAATCATATCAAATGATGTGCAATGTTTTAGGGTATCAGAGATTCAGTGACATCAAAACTACATATAAGTATTTCAAAACTAAATAGTGAACTATAAACCTCGGCAGGTGCATACACCTGACCAGTAGGATTGGTGCAAGCAGAACTCTGATTCGCAAGCGAGATTTCTTCAAAAAGGGTTGGTCTTTTCCACACACCTCACAGTGTTTCCCCCAACCCACACATGCAAGGCCATGAATACTGAGATGTGAACACCAAGAAAACTAATGTGCATGCTGTCCAGAACATTCTCTGGAGATGAAAAGGGATTTAATCTTCTTTTTAAAATGAAAGCAGACATCACATACTTTAAAGTTTGAATATAAATGGTTTTAAAAATAAAGCACAGCATTTGAGGTTGACATTCAACATTCTCTATACAATCTTCAAGTCTGAAGCTAGTAAGTCCCAATTCCTCCAGGTTCCTCAAAGCCATAGCAAGGTGACATGCCACCTACTTCACTACATTTCCCTTTTGCTCCACTCCTCAGTGCAGAGTAAGTGACAGAATCAGATTGCTGCTCCAAGTGTTGGATAATAAATTCTTGACTGGCACTCTTTACTCCCAGCAACTGAAAAAATCTGCTTCTTTCTCCAAAACAGCAAGCAGATCTCTCCTTAGTAATTTCCTCATTTTTAAAACTAAAGAAGTAGAATGCCATTACTGTTTTCTCTAGATTTAGATTTCAACAGAAACATCATTAATGATTGATAATACACCACGTAATAGACAACAGTGAAGGTTTAAGATATGCCCCCCAGCTTTAACAAACCACAGCCACAGTGAAAACCACTAAGATGAAATACAGCAACTTCAAAGTTCTTAGACATCAGTTATACCTGTTTACGATACGGTGTAATCACTCCAATATCACTCACTGACACGACAGCGTTTTCATTTTTAGCAAGGTGGCAACAGTACTGCATTACTTTAACTGCTTCTGTTGGATTAAACCATGAAGGACTGTGACCCTCATGTGTTTCATTGCCCTATATTAGAGGAAAGGAAATTAGATGGTGAAGACCAGGTGCAGAAGTGACTATGAATTTAATTATTAATTATTCTTATACATCCTAAATGTAAAAAAAAAGTGATGTATTGTTATATACAATTTCTCTTTGCTATACACCCTTCCCAATGAACAAGTATCACTAATATTTAATATTTTTTTAAGCTGGAGAATTTATATGACAACAGTACTCTAAGTGTGCAACAAAGGAGTTAAATCTCAACTCAGAATAACATGTCTTAGCAAGCTGGTATCTTGCTTTTGTGCAAGGTGAAGAGACCAAAAGCCTCTCCAAGCAGTGGATATTATAACTTTTAACTAACTTCTTGGAGTACTGAAGAAAAACTTTTTTTTTTTCCAAAGTACTACTTTTCCCCTGCCTACTTAAGGCTTAATAATCCTCTAGTTTTAGAGTCTTGTACTCATTCTAATGCTGCAAACACTCACCAAAAGCAATCTCAAGGCAGCTGACTGTATCTCCAACTTGGTCAGTCTGCTACAAATCTAAATATGTATCAAAATGTCTCCACAATACACTTCAATGGGAGCTGCTCAAGTTCTTAGCAAACATTTGACTTGAGTAGTTGTTGCTAAACCCAGATGGTCAGAAAGTCACCTTATTTGCAAAAGAAAGTTTATTCTTTTTTCCATATCCTTTCTAGAATTCATTCTAAAGGAAACTCATCTACAACATTAGGAAACTTCTATCAGCCCTCCTTATTCGTATTTTCAATACACGAACATTTTACATACCCTTATACCATGAAAAATTAATGGAAAACCCTTCCTGGGCAATTTCCTCCAATGTAACAAAGAAGTGACTACTGAAGAGTCTGCACAAACTTCTAGCTCCTTATGATAAAACAACTTAGACGGCAAGGCAAGCAGTGCAGAATGTGACCTGTAGTTCTTTATGAGTTTTGTGATCTGCAAAGACAAAAACCAAAATCCATAATGGAAATGGATAATTATTCATTAGACTTCACAGTGCAGAGCTCCCTAGCAGATACTACCTTACCATCCTCTAGCCTTCAGCTTTTCTAAAGCTGCTGAAGAACTGTACCAAGGATAAAAACTGCAGGTCTGATTTTCTGTAAGCAAATACTAAATAAGAACAGTTTTTTTGAAGGACCATCTCTTTCCCCTCCAAATGGGAGGGGGGGGAAAAAATGAACTGAATACACATGACAGATGAATTGGTCATCTCCAGTTTCTTAAAACATGTGATCTATAGGCACATTCTCTTTTTTAAGAGTCAGATTCTTTTAATGGGGTTTCTATGGATGTAACCCATTTTTTTGTTGGGGAAGTCTTGACAGGCAGAAAGGGAGCATCAGAACAGCTGATAGAAGCTGGCCTTAGAAATCAGGAATGTGTTTGTCTTTAAATGAAAGGATCATAGAATCACAAAGGTTGGAAGAGACTTTAAGATCATCAAGTCCAACTGTCAACCTAACACCACCATGCCCACTAAACCATGTTCTACAGTGCCATACCCATGCACTTCTTGAACAACTCTAGGGATGGTGACTGTACCACCTCCCTGGGCAGCCTGTTCCAGTGTTTGACCACTCTTTCAGTAAAGAAATTTTTCCTAATATCCAATCTAAACCTCCCCTGGCACAACTTGACACCACTTTCTCTTGTCCTGTCACTAGTTACATGGAAGAGACCAACACTCACCTCTCCACAACCTCCTTTCAGGTAGCTGTAGAGAGCAATAAAGTCTCCCCTCAGTCTCCTCTAAACTAAATGGCCTTAAGGAAGCATCCCAGTCAGTAATAACCACTTTGAAAAAAAATATGGCCTGTAAAAAGACTCACATATGATATTTAAGTCCACTGGCATCCTTAAAGCCTTCAAACTTCCTGCTCTCTCACTATGTCAATTCTCCTCAAGCATTGCATAAGGAACACAGCTATGAAAGTCTACCGTAACAGATTTTAGGAGGAAGTGTGACAGGTTTTTCAGTAGGCTGAACCCAAACCTAAATCCTAGTGCCAAACACCGCTCTCTGCTTTCCCTCTGAGATCGGCCATCAGATTTCCTCCCTCCTCTGCTTACATGGTCATCTAGTTACTGTTTGTTCTGTTTAGTTCTTCACAGTACATTACCATGAGAATGGGAAGTTATCTTAGTAAATGTAACTTTAGCCCTATAGCTCAGATTCAGACAATTTAAAATTAAAAATTTAAAGCAGCTGAAACATCTGTGGTCATTTATGTACTATGCTACCTCTGCCACTTAACATAGGCTTTAGCTACTTCACCATACAAGAGTTCTGGGAAGCTATCCTTCAGAGAAAGGGGTGATAAAGAAATGTGAATAGTTTCTTTTTTCTCTGCCTGAAACATGACATTTGCAAAATTAATCCATACGTTTAAAGAAAAGGCTTTGTTTGTCTTTGTTAAAAGTAGAAGTTTTACTTGATCATCTGTGGAAAATTAAGTTAAGGTGTTATGGTAAATGTGGACAATGGGGATGAAAGGGAATTTAAAGCCATTATTTAGAACTCTGCGCCATATTTGACTTACTCTGCTAAGAATAGAGAATCTCTTCAAAGAAGGGTTTTAACATGTGGAGGGCTCAGCATCCTTGGTATTCAGAGTATATATTCAAAATAATCAAGCTTTCCTAGTAAACTAATGCTTAAGCTAGACTTATCACTAAGCATCAGGGAGCAAAAACGTGGAAAGGAAACAGCAGGAACCACAGCTACTTTTTTGATTTAGATGAAAAAATATTAATTAAAAATTGCAGTTTTACTCACCAGCAAAGGATTATATGCTCCACAGGCACTAAAAGCATCCTCATCTCTCAGATATATCTCTCTTGATGTCAGTCTTTCCAGCAAGGACATATTTAATCCAAAACTCTGTGCAATTTTAGATTTTATCACCGGCCCTAGCTGCTTTGGATCTCCAACAAGAACTATCTGTATATGCAATTAAAAAAAATTGTATTAAATTGTATTGTTGTATTAAAACAGTTACTTAAAAGTGTAGTTTCAATAACATACACATTTCAGAATTCAAAGGTCAATTAATATCAAGTATTCTGCTTTCCTTCAGACATCTAATCTGTCTGTGAAGAAAGGTTAGGCTCAGGACAGAAATACATTATCGTCTTTAACTAAGAAAGCATACTTTTATTTTGACATCTTTCACACACTGAATCCTGTCCTACTAATGCAGGCTTGTTTTAGATGTAAAACGATTAATTTTAAGTGTAGAGAAATTGATATCGTGCATGAATAAAATGAGCATTCCATGCTCATTATCAGGAAATGTCCACTTCATTCACAAAAGTACGAACAGTAAATCAAAACTTTTCAGTAAGTGATGCTAACCTGTCCATTAGCTTCTGAAATCAACCCAAGAGGAATCAGGGTCTCTGGTTCAGTTGCTTGCCCTGCCTCATCCAAAATCACGTGAGTGAAGTGTCCAAGCCTAGAATTAAATAAGAACCCAAAGCAGGGCTGTTTTCAGATTCTTTCATTCTGCCACCATGTGGCTGACCTCAGCAATTCTGTTAACTTGTCGAGTGTGCCAGGCAACTTCACATATATAGCACGAAGAGTTATTTTCAACACAGAGTACAGAAAAAACAACCTAGCAAGTTTGTCATCTTTGATTTCACTTACATACTCTGATATACACAACCACTGGCTATCTTAATTAAAGCATTGTTTATACAAAGGTTAAGACACTTAGAAAAGCCTTCCTTGTTCTAATTAAATAGCTGAAGGAAATTGAGAACAAGGCACTTGGTGTTGCAGAGACAATGCCCAGGCTTTGTTTCTGCCAGACTACTCAAACCACAGCATTCATTTACAAACTTAAAAATCGAACTCAGAGGAATCTTTAGTTAACAGCACTTAACATGGAGGTTGTTTATAGTTAGTAAAGGTGATTTGATAAAATACAAATACAATAAAATTTTTAGTGTGACAATCATTTTCAGCCAAGATGATTGTCAACAGCAATATAATTTTCACTGGAGCAGGCTGCCCAGAGGGGTTGTGGAGTCTCCTTTGGAGACACTCAAAACCTGCCTGGGCGCATTCCTGTGTGATCTCCAGGTGGTCCTGCTCTGGCAGAGGAGTAGGACTAGATGATTTTCAGATCATCATCATCTAGTCCCTTCCAACCCCTACCATTCTGTGCAATTCTGTGATAATTTCCAGGGCTCCCACTGGTAATGCAGGAGAAGTTATTGTGTCAAAGTTTTTTAACCTTATCCAAGATAGTTTTTAAATTTATCATGGAGAAAGTCTCTGCTAAATCATTACTAAAACCCAAGTGGTTTCACAGAATCACAGAATGTTAGGGAT